TTGTTGTTGTAAGTGATGTCTGTTTCTGCTCGGAAATTCATCAGTTCCTTAAAAGGCGTGCCCGGTTTACTTAAAAGGCTATCTCTAACCACTATTGCCTATGCCTTTCCTCTCTTCATCTCACTCCCCTCCAATTTTTTCTTGCTCTTTTACTATATCATTCCGAGCTTTATTTGGGCTAAATTAAAAATAATAATAATAATAATAATAATAATAATAACTTGATCAAATTGGGCTTTTAAGTTTTAATCATTGGAAGTCTAAATTTTGCAATTCCAATATTGGTAAACTTGTTTTTGTTGCCTCAGTCTACCACATATGGTTGGATTGGAACGAAACTCGAGAATTTTGAGAGGCTCTCTCATTTGCAATCCTCTGTTCTAGCGTAGAATTGTCGATTTCATTACTACTGGGCCAAAGCTTAAGGATTAGTAGCTTTGAGGAGACCCCTGGTCTCTTGGGAGTTCCCTTCTTCATGCTTGCGTCCTCTGTATCGGCCGTCTAATCCCTAATTGGGATCTCTGCTCGAGATCTCCATCGAAATCTGGCAAGCAGAGCATACCAAGTTAATGAAAATAAATTATATTAAGTGTTTTTAAGACAGTTTTTTTAAGTATGCAAGGACTACTTTGTTTGTCATGTCAACATTTATTGATTGAGCATACTAATGACTTATATGCAATTAAAAAATATCTTCTCCATGGCCTGTGGTAGTCGGTTACCGTTAAGAACGGTTGCTTGTAACGGTTCTCTATTTTAAATTTAGTTGGGTTCATAGGCTTGGGCTTTTGTCCTGTTTGGGCTGCCTCTTGTGGGCTAGCTATCTATACTTTGTATATACTTTACTTCTTCTATACAATTTGTTTGATTTTTCGAGAAAAATTTATATAAAATTTTGCTTGGTTATTAGTATTTAAAACAAATTTTTTTGAAATTGAGTTTAGAAGAAAATTTTTTTCAAATAAGTTCATTTTAGAAGCCATTTTTGTTTTCTCTTAAGAATTATTCGTTCGTAATATTTTGTAGGAGTGACAAAGTTTGACACGATCCGCCAACACGACTCGAACATAATACGAGTTAAATGGGTTTTGATTGACCTTAAATGAGTTTGGGTCGTAAACGAGTCGATACGATTAATCCGTTTAGTTAAATGTGTCGTATTTAGGTTGATGGGTTCAATCCGTGTAACTCATTTATACCTGTTTAACTATACGTGTTATAAGCAAATTTCTATTTAAGTTCTAAAATAACTATTGAAACTTATATTTTATAATTTATTCTTTTGTGGATTAAAGATTATTCAATAATTTGATTGAATTTAGACTTATATTTTTGTAGTATTTAATGTTTGATAGAGCATTATTAATAATTTAAATAATAAAAAAATTAATTTTATTAAACAGGTCATTAAACGGGTTACATGTGTAACCTGTTTAATAAACAGGTCGGGTTAGTATTGAGAGTTCCTGACACGATTATTAAACGAATCGTGTTTGGATTGAATGATACAACATGATTATGACCCGCGAACACAAATTGCTATCCCTAATATTTTGATAGAATTCAGGTAAACAAATCCTTATTTATTATGCTTGGTTAATGAAAGGACGACATTATTCAAGTTGATACCATAGTAATAAGGATCTACATTCTATGAATATTGCCAAAAGAATAATGATAGGGAAATCGTATCCCTGAACTTTCCCCGAATATGATGTGGCAAAGCCACGTCAAGTTGATTAAACGTAATTCAGGAAAAAAAAGTTGATTAAACGTCTTTAACGTGAGTATTTCAACGTCTTCTCTAACCTAACATGGCTTGAGTAGGTTTTGTTTCCTCTTCAACCTCACAAGTTGTATTCTAGCACTCAACAGCGACCCATTTGATTGCGATTCGACAAAAAACCAAAAATATAGAAGAAAAAAAAGAAGGGGTCGTGAGAGAGTGTGTTCCTTAGTTCTGCCTTTGGGAATCAGATGATGGGTTTCAAATTTTTTTTACCAAAAATAGTCGAATTATACGTGAGAGAATTCAAAAATTGTATCGGATCAACTTCCGATTACAATCAGTATTGATTGCGGTGAACCTACAAACACAAATTAGAATTTATGTGAATAAATTGAAAGATCTAACTAATAAATAAATATATGACATAACTTATAATGGGTGTGGTGATATATATATATGCTTCTATTGAATATTTTTTTTCCTGGTTTAATATTTGTGTTTTTTTCAGTGTTTGAAGAAATCACTTCATTTTTATTTATTTATTTTTTTTTTTTTTGAGATTGGTGATCAAACAGAGTTCAAATTTAGATTATAGGTAAAAATCCTCATTTTGTAAACAAAACCCATATCTTGAGCTTGAGGTTTGGTTAACCCATGTCTTGAGGTTGAAGACCAAAAGATGAACAACATAGAATCCACCCAAGGCAAGTGAGGAGAGAGAAAATGTTGAAAACTTATCGTATGAATGTTTAATAAAAGTGACGTAATTTTGCCACGTGCAAATTTGATGATAATTCAGAGACAACCATTTTGTTCCCCTGTTACTACTCTTGCCAAAATGGTGTCATTTGTTATGTCTGATAAATACTTGAATAACATTTTCTCTTCTCTCTATCAATTTTGAATTGACTCCACAAACCAACTCCTAAACAAAGACTACCAATTACTTGAACCACATTTTCCACATCTAAAGATCCATTCAATTACTCACTAGTTTCTTGGCAAATGGTATTTTGGAGACTCAACCACCATGTTTATTGTGCCAAGACCTAATCTTACAAATATATAAAACTTATTATTATTATTATTTATCTAATTTTCTTACTCCCTATGTTGGGTGCTTAGTCTTAAACTTCTTGAGATAATGAGATGAGTTTTTATAAATAAAAAAACCTTTCAGCATAGACAAAAAAGAAAAAGAAAAAGAAAATTAGTAATGACAGGATAAAAGGATGAAAATCACGAACATCCCGTCAGGCCCTTGAGAGCAACTATAATTGAATCCACAAAATGAAATGGGACCACTTATTCACTGAAACGGTTTCAAGGGGCCCTCTTTCTTTCTCTCTCTCTAGGATTTTCTCTCTCTGGACTGTAGATACGGATAGCACGCCTTCTTTTTTGGTTGAATTGATAAAGACGATAAAGACTTGATTAGAAGAGACAAAGAGGACTGAGCAAGGGCCAGCATTATCGGTACATTCGAGTAAAAGGGGGAGAGGATATTGATCATAAATCTCCCCAACCAACTATATTTAATTTACCTCTCAAAAAAAAAAAAAAAATTATTTTTAATCAACTACATATCTAAAACAATGAATTATTTTAATTTGGTTATTGGCTTCAGTTAATCTTTTATTATTATTATTATTTTTCAATCAACTACTCTAAAAAAAATTGGCAACATGGATGTGATAATAGAGTCTCATTTCTCGTCTCTTTTGATTAATTTATTTCTTTAATTTAAATTCAATTCAACCTTTTTTGATAGCATTATTATTATTTTTAAAAATATCAATATTCTAAAATTTAAATTAGCATGAGAACTGAGTTGAATTAGAGTCAGCTTGCACAGGAAAAACATTGTAATCTAATACATATATGATTGCCATTCTGATTTTATCATTTTTCATGATTTTCAATGGTACCTACGGGACCACATAAAATAATGTAATATGAACAATTGTAGTATTCTACTTATGCTAGTTTGGTGCGGGAAATGAAATAAAAGAAAGTGTAATGAAATGAATTTTTTTTTCATTATCGTGTTTAGTGTCAATTTTAAAGTTGGAATCATCATTCTTCACTATTCTTGGAGAATGATTATTCCATCAAAATTATTCCACCTTCAAACAAAAAGAATGACCATTCTATTCCATTTCTATCTCCATTCTCATTCCATTCCAATTTATTCTATCACACCAAACTAGCCGTAATTGTACCTTATCAAGAACTTTTTGGTTAAACGTATCTCCTCTATTTTTCAAAGATGAATAGTGAGAATTTAAGTCTTCAAAGAATAAAGTGAATGTGAAAATGATGTGCCTGAATTTCTTACTAAATGACCAAAAAAAAAAAAAAAAAATAGAAAAAGGTATTTTTTTTTTTTCCTTTTAATAAGTAAGATTTTTATAAAAAGCACTCAAAACGGGAGCGGATTCCAAATAAACAACAAAAGGCCAGAACCACTAAGCCTTCAAAAAGGCCAAAAAAACAACAATGTCCTCAATGGATCTCTAATCTCTACCCGAAATCCAACAAAAAAGAGTGGAAACAATGAAGAATTTAAGAACCGAAATAGGTAGCATAAAAGGTGAAAATAATGGGGAATTTAAGAACCCAAAATAAGTAGCACAAGGACAATCGCATAAGCGCAAGGCACATCCCAAAATTGTTGGGCCCAAAGCACTGATGTGTGTATTAGTGTCAAAAAAAACAATTTGTCATTTTTTTTAGGGCAAAATCAATTTCATAGAAACAATCAGAATTGATAATTGTGTAAAAAGTTATTACAACATAATTTCGTATTATTTAGTTTCAGATAATATGCTTTTTTTTAGTTCCAAAATGCAAGGAAGTTTTCAAAGAGAGAAAAAGATTGAAAGGTACTGTCAGTGCCCAAAACAAGCTCAATGGACGAACCAGCTTGAAATGGGCATATGCCAAATAATACAGATTACATTGCAAACTCTATCATTTTCATATGTTGTGGTAATAAAATGATTGAGCTAAATCAATGGTTCATTAGCACAATGGTTTAATCTTTCTATCCTCAAAAAGGAGGGGATGGATTCAAACCCAACATGAACAACATGTGTTTGTGAGTAATAAAAAATTATAATAATATATAAATAAAAAATGTTTGAGCTGAAAGAGTCACAAGGGGAAAGAAATTGTAATTTCTCCCAAAAGAGATTTCAAACTTTGGCCTACCATATCAGTATATTGGTAAGCATGGTCCAAAAGGGACTTTCATTTGGGCAGACAAAACTTAAGACAACCTAATTAAATAATTGATCACTTCCTCTGAAGGTTTCACAAAATTTTCTTACAAATTCAATAAAACCCTTAAGAAGAATATACATACATAATAGTCGACAAAGAAAAATCACCACGCTCAAGTTACATATAAGGCTCATACACAAGCCGCGATCGTCATGGAAATAAGTTTAGCAATAGTCCAACAATGGGTTGCACTTAATGAATGCTGAACCTTGTTGTTAATAGACATATGGCAGTATCCTCCATGGAACAAGATTGCAGTATTCTGCCCAGACTTCTTTATACTTCTCTGCGCAACGAGCTTCATCTCTTCTCTCTCTCCATATTAGCAGAATAAAAAGATATATTGGATAGAAGTATGGAACAGGGGAACTGCAAAAATCATGAATTCTCAGAGTTAAAGGACTGCGTCTATGTGGAATCAATAACCACATCAAAACACATTACAGAATAATTGATTACCTGATTCCGCAAGGTAAACTAAAGGACAGCGCCACAAGCAGATCGCCTAGGTAATTACAGTGTCTTGCAACTCCCCTTCAAAAAAATATATATATATAAATAGAAGACAGGTGCAAAATGACTATTTGTGCAAGTCATGAGCATCTTAATCATCCTAGAAACAGCTATACTACCCACAATAGACTTATGAATTGTAGATGACACCCTCCACGCACAATATCACGATGATCTCAGATAGAGGTTGTTATTATTAAGAGAAATTATTAGCGGTCCAGGACCATTGACACTTGGTGGTCCAGTCCAATCAAGACACTCCGATTAAGAAAACCGGACCCACAAGAGAGTAATAAAATATTACAAAGAAACTTGAACATTAATTTTGATTGGAGTGGACCGCCAAGTGGCAGATGGTCCTGGTATTATACATTTGTGAAAATTTCAGCTTTCATTGATGCTCAAAGATGATCTATGTTTTATCTTAATCAAGGTTACATCTGTTAATTCACATCGTATTCCTTAAAGGCACTATCAATTACATAATCACACTTGCATTACTGACACTCAAATAGTTTTCAGTTAAATTTTCTTAGCATTCCTTTCTTCTTTCTTTTATTAATGAAAAATATAATCAGATTGAAACCTTACCAGTAACCAGAAGCAAGCAACTTCCCTCCAATAACTTTTGGAGGCCTGCCCCATATTAGTGCTTTTGGATTCTTTTTGAATACATGCTTCTGCTTGTTAGCTCCTCTGAATACCCGATACCTTCCCAATACAATCAGTGTGTCATTTTAGTTGTTAAGAAAAAAGAATAAAGAACAACTACAGGTAAAAAAAAAAAACAAAAAAACAAAAAAAAAAAATTAGTGTTGAGACAGCCAAGTCAAAAGAGATTTACCCAATCAGAAAAACGAAGCAATTTGCAATAACAGCAGCTGTTCTTAACTCCGCCTTGTTATACAACAGCCACCAACCCTGTAACAGAGAAGAAGACAAATGATCATCTAATAATTGTACAACATAAAACAAAATTTAAACTGGCGGTTGAAGTAATGATACTATCTTTTTCTTTTTGGCAAGTGAACTAATGATATAGAGTACAACTATAGAAATACAGATATTATAAGAACTAATGAAAAATCACCTGTTTTCATTATTACAGGTTCATACAAAGTGATACGTATTGTTCTTGGAACATAAATTGCAATTCTACGCATAATGAGTGGATCATCAACATGAAACTTCCTTTGGGACATGATAATTTGCAAGTAGGCTTATTACTTGACTGGGGGGTGCAAGTACTAGTTTCAAATGCAAGGCTGGTTTTTTAGACCACTACAAAAAGAATTAAAATATCATTCATTTACAATGTGACTCTGTATTCTAGAGAACATCTAGAATTTTTGCATGCTTTTCCTTAAAACTTATGAAGGAAGAGTGAAGAGAGTTACAAAATTTGTCTTGTGATCTGAATCACATACTCGAACGTTTTGTAAGGAACTCTATTTGCTTACAAAACCATCTAAACAAAAATTTCAAATTATTTGTTTTAATATATTGGATTAAGTTAAACACAGTGTGTAAACAAAAAATAAATAAATAAACATCTAATGATTTAATATAATTCAACAAAGAAACCAAATAATAAAACAAAATCAAGAACCTAAGTTCCTCCAATCAATTAAATAATAATAACAATGGGCAAGAATGCAGGGAAAATAAAGATGGACGTATCTTGGCCTCAAGAATGAAGGAAATCTCAGTAGTGTATTAAAACTTATTTTGGCTACTAGGCTTCAGTTTCTTTCTGTTATTCTCTCAGTTTTTTTCTTTTATTCAATCAATTGAAGATCAAAATGTGTAATGGTAGAACCTTTTTACGTACGTGGTGGACTCTATGCATAGGCGGTACGGTGCAGCAGAGTTTTTGTCTTCTTGTACAGCTATCAAGTACAAAAAACTCCCATATATTTTGTCTTTTTAGCTAGGTGGGGGTAGCAAGGACTTAAGACAAATTAGTGGCCAACTATCTGGATAATAGACGGTTTGCAGGTACAAAGAGGTAGTAGTGGAAATACAAATCATTGGGGAACCAAGCCAAAAAATGAAAAGGGCTACAAAATGGAAATTTGAAGCTTAATAGGAGCCGTGGGTCCCTCCTCAATCCGCCAGTGCCCCACACGGGCATCTCTCTCTCTCTCTCTCTAACAATACTTGCAGTAAGAAATCAAAACATGCTACATGACTTCTTCAATCTAAATCATTCTTACATTTCTAGGGAATGACTAAAATTGAAAGTTCTATTCATTATTAATTTAATATGGTAAAAATTTGAAACATGAGCAACTGTCAAATGAGTTAAATAATTAATCCAAATAATTATATAAGGCTTGGACAATAACAATAACAATGATGTATGCAAACGTCTATACTTGGCCCACCAGAAAAAGAAGCTACCTATAAAAGAGGCTTTAGACAATACATGGAAAAGGAATTGTTACATTTCATCTAACAAATATCTGAAATGAGTTTATTCCCAATATGGAGGATTAATAAGACAAATCTAAGCTTAAAAGATTTTCCACATAAAATTTCCCTAGAAGAGAAATGTAGAAGGTAGTGATTAAGCTAAAGAAACATTTGAAATGGAGAACCCAATACAGAAACAGAGAGAAAGGAACACATACTGAAGACAAGCATCAACCAGTCTGCATGAAGACACTGAAAAGGTAGATTAATCATAACTCAAGAAAAAGCTCTAACCAGTTTAGGAACATCAGATCCTGTGATAATCCCTGATCAATCTAGGAAAATCAGATTGTCTGTCATGAAATTTCATTGGATAAGGGAACCTAATGATTAAAACTCAAATTTATGTTTGACAGCACATTGCAATAAACAGTTGACAGTCTATTAGAGGAAAATTCAGAGGTTTTGAATAAAATGCTCTTTCATTGTTCTAAATTAAGATGTATATCACTCAATTCCAAAAATCATAGTTCTATTAACCTGCTTAACTCCCATGAATCAAACTGTGCAGTTCAAAGTTAGCATAGAGTTTCCATTTCACTAAGCATGTCTATGAACAAGTGGTAAGTTGTCAATATGCAACCAAGTGTACAGATCTGAGTATACTTATTTAGTTCTCCCTTTCATCCTCTTATGTCCAGAAACAAAGACAATTCCTTCTGTAATTTAGAGAACAAGTTATTGTCACATGCCTGGATACTAAAGGTGAAAGGAATCCACACTAGATCACCAAACACCAGCATGAAGCCCAATCTCTCTGCAATTATATCCCAGCTACAAAATTACATATACAAGTTTAGATCTAAGTAAAACAATAGATGGATGGTAAATTTACAGCTTTAGACAGCTAAGTGAAAACAGAAGAGTGAAGGAAGACAAATTGTTTTCTTTTTCTTTCTTCTCTTTACCAGTATTTTAACCTTTGACCAGGGCTTGGAAATTAAGACCCATAGCCACCAAGACAAAGGTAGACCACTAAAGGAAGACAAAATACGGTTCATTAAATATATATAAATAAATAAATAAACACAATTAATTGCAACTAGAAATAGGCAAACAAACATCAAGATTTTAAGTATGGACTTCCACAAAAGAAAGTGTCTCGATAGTCAACAAGTTAAGGCACAAAATGAGTCACATATAGACTAAATTTGAGAAAACCATAAAAGCATATATCCGAATCAACAGAATAAAACTGCACAATCATGGCTCTTAACTTTCACCATCAATTTTAGTACTCACCCCTCTGGTAAAATAAAGCATAAATATATGTATGTACATACGTATTTATGTATACATGCATGCATATAGGTAGATATGTAAATAATAAATAGAGTAGCACTATTAAGTGTTCTCATTTAGTTTGGATTCAGAGGAATTTTGTCAGTGTGGATTTGGGTTTTAGTTCAGTCAGCTGAGCCTAAAATGAGTGTTTTGGGTTTTTCCAGTCTTTCTTGTATTAAAAATTATGTTGGTGGTACACTGGGGAATTATTTCTCTTTTGGAGGGTTTACGTGGAAAGTCTTGTATTGACTTTGCAAAGAGCCTTTAGGTTATTAAAAGGAGCTGGGGTATCCTAGGAGAAGAAATCTGAGTTACAAGTCCAACACGACTAGGGTTTTGAAGCACTGAAGCTTTGGATTTGAGGAGTCGACCATGAAGCATCATTCTATCCCTTTACTGTTTCATTTAAGCCTAGTGATGTCTCCATCCTCTATGAGAGGTTGAGGGTTCAAGTCCTCACTGGAGCAAAAGTGAGTGTGTGAGTGTGATGGGCGTGTGTTTCTTACCCACAAAAAAGAAAAACAACCAGAAAAGAAGTTCCAAAATCAGGTGTCTTTCTAGATTTATATGATACAAGATCTCATTCCTTTATAGTCGTATCTGTCGATATTATATGCTGAAATTATAAACTCATAATTGAAGTTAGTCGTTATTAATTTCAAAATATATTGTTTCCTTGATGTTCTGAGTTTATTAGCCATCATTGCTGCTAGAACTTTCACAAGAGCAAGTTTGTCCCTTGTGACTGCATACTTCTTTGATTTATTGGGCGTTCGAGTTGTTACAAAACGTATGGATACAAGAGGTTTATGGGTAGAAATTATGCAACTATTAAAGTGTCTCAAGAGTGAGCAAATATAAAACCTTGACGAGCTGGTTGTTCAAGCAAATAATAGGGTAATGGAAGCGACAATGGGCCAGACCATGTTGATAAGTAAGGAGGTTAATGTTAAGGAAAAATAATTAGTTAAAGTGGCGTGGTCTATATGCTTTTCATCAAATGACCAATGCCTGCACCAACAATTAATAACAAAGATGAATGGCTTACAAAAATATCTTCAAAATATATTGTACTTCAGGGGGAAGCCTCAAAAATCAGATAGACTGTAGTAGTAGCAAAATCTAGCCGCTCAAGAGATAGGTAACAAGTTGAAGCACAAGACAGAAGACACGTCACTCGTAGCACATCTTTCAATTCAGCAAAGGGAATGAGCTAATTGTGTCTTGAAGGAGCCATATTAATCTTTCAATAACTGGGAAGTCTTAGAAAGAACTGGTATACTAATGACATGATACAAAGGGATGCATGCGGCATTCTACTTGGTCTTTCTTAGCAATATGACTGAAATAAAACTCACAATGATGGCAATATTTTTTAATTTTGATTAAGAAATAATCAGACATCTAAAAGTTACATTATCAGTGTCCTAATTATCCTAAAACCATGTCCTATTTGATTCTTTACAAAACTATGAATTACCACCAAAGGAAAAAAGGCTGAACTTGGCCCAAACTCCAACTTAGCTAATGAATTTTTTTGAAGACGGGTTACTCATTTAGTGCAAAGTGTGCTTTAGAGAGTCCCAATTCTCAAATTCCCTTACATCCTGTATGTGTATTATTTGCATACATACCGCTTCAGCATACTTATCAATAACGTGTCACAAGAAAAACTACCAATATTAAGGAACATAAATATATATATAAAAACCTAGACAGCAACAGCAACTGTTGCCTCCAATAAACTAGTGTTTCATGAAAATATATTGCAGTTTGAGTAAAGATGAAAAGTTTCTGAAATTAGAAGAATGGCAAACAAAAATGATTCTTCATGAATGGAAGATCAGGCTAGCGCATTAGTATACGAAAAATGATCTGCCTGAATAATGCACCTGCATAATTGCATTACATTGATAAACTGCTCTAATGAGTTAAATTCTTTTGGAAAAAAACAGAAAATACACTTACGTGGAGGTCATGTACTCTTCATAAAAGAAGTAATCCAAGATGTAAAGCTGAAACAAATTTTAATCGGATAAAAAATAATAATAATAATAATAATAAACCAATCATGAATGAAAAATAATTAGAACATGAGAGTATAACGTCACAAAATTACCAAACAGAATAGCTGGTAGAGAATCATCGATCTGCTCAAGTTGGCATCTTGAATACTTTTAGCCAGAACTGAAAGATTGATCAGCAGCCATCCCATCATTCCAGCTCTAACAAAGAAAAATCTACAGGAAGGGATTCCAGTGTTGTCACAAACAATATGTTCATCATAGATGTGATTCAATTGTGCCATTGCATCAATTCAGCATAGTCAAATTGTTCAGGTAACCAATAGAGATGGGGAAAGCAAACGTTTTTTTTTAAATTATATTTTTTATGTTTTCAATCAACATGAATAAATTGAAAAGGTAAAATAATTTTATAAGGTTCACAAAAATTGCCATGTTACGCATGAAGAAAAACAAAAACAAATGTAAAAGAGTTTGTTAATGTGGTTAAAGAATAGAACCTTGACTTATGGAGGAAGGAAAAAATAACATCTGAATGTGAGAAGTTCAGTCCACGACATTTACAGTTAAGTAACTTAAAAGACATGTTAATTGGTAAGATTCTAAAAGACTCCCCACAATGGGTGACATACCCAGAAAATTAAAGATCAGATTACATACTTGAGGTCCGTGCCCATAAATTGAGGATTCAGCTGAATTCCAAACCACCTATTTGATGACATAATATAGTAGCAATATCAAGATGATTGATGATTGATCAGAATGCAGTCTTCAAGGAAATTAAACAAGCAACATAGACATTAAGTACTTTTATCTTAATGACAAACAAAAAATAAATGGTTGAATATAATTAGGGATATGGGAAGCTAATGACATATTACAAGCAGATATCTCAAGCAACATAGAAATTTTATCGTGATGACAACAACAAAAAAAAAAAAAAAATTGGGATGTGGAAAAGATCTTGAAGATGATATTACAAACAAAAATGTTAGTAATTTATTACTTATTTTTTTATCTGCCCTTCTAAATATTAAGCTTGCAAGTTAGAAGTGTCAATAAAATACCACATAGCAGAAATGTCTACATTTGTTGTAGAAAACACCTCCTTGGAAGTGGTTAGCCTCCTGGTTTTTGATTTTTCATTATTATTTGTGTGTGTGTGGAAAGTACACCACATGAAATTGCCACTGAGAATTGAGGCTACCACCTTTTCACCCTTCCAATTCTTACATTTGGCACATTGGTCCCCAGAAAGACCATACGATATATTCCTAGCAGAAAAATAAATAGGCGGTCCCAAGTAGACATTGAGATAGAACAACCAAAGGGAAACGCTTCTTAAATCTTAATATGTCCCACTCCAGAACTAAAATTAATGTTTTCAATCTATCTTTTTCGAAACGTGTCTGATGAAGATTAACTTTGAGGGTAAATTCTTTCTCATTTTAATATTGTTTACATGTATTTATCATGGGCAAGACAGGTCTCATATGAGAAATGATGGTAGTTAAATAGGCCTTTGATAAGACTAGATTGTGACATTCATGGAAAAAAAGTATAGATTGTGACCATGTGGGATTACATGGAACCATAAAACGACAAGATCATGTAATGATTAGTAAATATTATTGCTAAAGATTAAATAAGAGGTAATGGTGTTGTATAGAGTGAACATGACTCAACTACAAACTTTTTCTACCTTTCTTACTAACATATAACCATAATTAATTGAAAAAATGCACACTCCACGTGTCCTTTCTACAATGGCTAACAAGAATCTGGATAGCTTATTACTTTATCTAAAATAGTAGCTGAAATATTTTATTTTTTTGATAAGTAAAATAGTAGCTGAAATATCTATCACATTATTTCTTGTTTTACAAGAGTGAGAGTGAAAAGAATGTTGAGGACATTTGATAGTAGTACCAGTCATGAATTATATTTCCCGTGATATGAGGCTTCAGGGATGAACCCTGATCACGGGACTGGCGACCAGCCAGATAAAGCACTAGCGTCACCTGGCATGTAAAAATAAAAGAACATTAAGGTAACAGAAATCAGATTTAGAAAGAAATAGAATCTACAAGGTAATAATGGTTACAAAGTAACAACTGTCCTTATGCCAATAGAGTACGAGATGAGATTGGATACTGAAGATGCAACCTGCTTGGATCAATCAACACCTATGGAAATCACAAACTAAAGGTTTCCGAGTGATGAAAGATAAGGTTCAAACTTACAAGAAAACTGAATATAAAAGTTGTTGACAATAGCTCAAGTCCTCTGTCTGAGATCGCCTGCAAACATCATTAAGATATGACAGTATGACTGCATCTTCACATAAATAGAAACAAATATCTTTATACTCTACATTCACGTGGGATGCACAATCATGGAGACAACACTACAAAATGGTTAAAGTTACATAAAGTATCATCATTTTTTGTTGGGTCAGGTAGTGGCCAAATCCAACATATTTCTAATAAGTTCTCCCACTATTCATCCCAGAATACAATAATTAAAAAATACTGGGAGTCTGATAATATTAGAGGATAAGAGTTGAACACTGACCCAACTGCTTCTTTAAAGGCCAGTCATCACTTTTCCACAGTGCTGCAGTGGCTTTGGCAATTGGCACCACTTCGAGGACCACCCTAATGCACCAAAAATCTATATGGTCCTTTCCAGTATGCAGTTTTGTTTTGATTTAGTAAATTTGGATGCACCACACCCAATTAAAAATTCCATGTACAGGGGGGAAACAAGGCTATGAGATGGATCCTATCGTTCTGTACAGACAATGTTAACTTATTCGTTAAATCTAAAAAAATCTTCTTATCTTATTGCATATTTAGAATCCTAACCCCAATACAGAAGTATGGCCAGCCCATCATATTATTTTGAGTTTATTCATGTACATATGTAATCAAATGTTAACAATAAAATTTACCCTGCTTGTAAAGTACTGTTCATAAACAAATGTTCACTAATCTATGATCAAGTAATGGAAATGAACATTAAAATTGAGAAATGTACTTTAATAAATGAATATATTGTCCAAATTAGTGAATACATACCATAGGTGAAATTAAATCCATCCAAACCCCTATTCCAAGTAGGGCAACCAACAAAAGAAGTGAAAATAAACCTGAAATCGAGAAATTACCACATAAATTAAAATGATTGTCCATTTTAAATCTTACAAATACAAATGAAATCACACATTAAAATTCATGTAAGAATATGTGAAGTGCCATATGAAAGGAGTGAGTGACCATTGCAACGGTAATGAAGTTGAGTGCCATCTGATAATTTGACACCAGCAACAATCTTTCCAGGTAGAATAGATCCAGCAAACCCCAAGTAAGTGAAGAACGACAGTAGAATAGCAACCTAGGCAACATCAAGAAGAACAAATAAAAAGTGATGAATCAGAACGTGAATGGATCGTCACAAGATTACAGTATACATGTAGCTAAGAAGTACAAGTGTGTATAGGGATGACTGTACATGTATACATACATATATGTATAGAGAGAGGAGCAATACTCACAGAAGTCCAAGAAGGAATTGAGGCGTTGAAGAGAGAATCAAGATCCATATCTCTCTTCTCGGACACAACGGTAGATTCGGATGCAGATATCACACTCTCCCTGGCCGATGCGGCAATAGAGTTCAGACGAACACCCGCTCGATTTTTTAAAGGGAATTTCTTGCAACTCTTTTTCTTTTATTTTTTATTTTGTGGGTGTGTTTTTTATTTATTATTTTTCTTTTTTTGCTTAAAAAAAACAATAGCAATAACTTACCACTTAATTATGGAGAATGGATTACTTTTTCTTTTTCTTTTTCTTTTTTTTTTTTGTAAATGACAAATAAATCCTATTAATTTTTCAAAAAACGAAAATAATCCTAACTTTTAAAAAAATTTCTTTTAAATCATTTGACTTGACACTATACTTTTACCAAATTAGATTTAAATTTTTACAATTAAAATATCTATTCAAAATTTGGTATGTAAGCCAAATTCATCCTATTTTAAAAGAGATTTATTTTTGTAAGTTGTATAATAATAATCGTGTTAATTCAACCTTGGTTTTTCTTAGCTCCATAAACAAGAGATGATTTTATTATTGGGTGATTATTTATACATATTGTCATGTTCATTCAAAAAATACTCTCCAAACCTTACATTAATGATTAATCTTTAATTTTGATTTTTATAAAATATCACATTTTATGGCATAATGATGAAAAATGGGCCTGGAGAATGACCTGGGCCCGAATTAAGCTGTCATCAGGCAAGCCCAATGCTGAAGAGTGAAGCTGGAGGCCCTTAGAGGCAATTGGACCCATGGTTGCAAAAGCCTCGAGGATGAGCCCAATGGAGGAAGTTAGTTAGGAATCTTCTAAAACACTACAAACAATCTATAAATAGGCGAAAAATGAAGAAGAGAAGGAATGTTTGAAGTGTAATGAAACTCTGTCAATTTAGAGAGAGAAAATTATTGCATCTTCAATGGCGCCGTCTATGGGAATCGATAAGGATTGGTTGATGTTTGATTAAGATTGATTCGATCCAGTGTAGTGCGTGAAGACGAAGCCTGATCGTTGAAGGCGGAATCAAGATCGGTGAAATCATGATCGAAGAAGTTGGCGTTCGATCTACGCAGCTCTGATTTATGCTTGTTTTGGTGAGCTGTGCGGTTGAAAGTTGTTGAGATTGCTGAATTTGGCAAGTTCGTCGCCGGAGCAACTGAGATCTAGCTAATCACGATTGAAATTCAGCTAAGCTATAATCCAGATCTAGAGCGTCTACATTGGCAAAGTTCAGATCTGATCAGAAATTTGCGGTTAATGACTTTGCTATGATCCGGAATAATGATCGGAGGAGAGAGTTCAAATCCAGTGGAGAATGGCCAGCAGATGAAGCTTGATGAACTGATGAACATGATCGAGGTTCTGAGAAAAGAAAATGCAGAGTTGAGAGCTGGAATGGAGCGCCGAGAGGTTCCGGTTGCGCTGCGACCGCCTCCGGTGGGCGAAAGAGGCGTACGGCCTGATGAAGCACATCAAGGTGAGCAAGAGGGAGATAACTACGTCGATCTCCATCGCGAGGAGGTTAGGATGGAGAATTTACCGCAAAACGTTCGTCAAGTTGAGGATCAAGAAGGATTTATACATCTCGATCCATATCGTGAACAGATCAGGCGGGAAGAAACTACAGCTTTCAATCCGCATCAGGAAAAGCACAATCGCGAACAGGATATGGAGTTTGATTGTCATAAGATTAACTCGCCATGGCAGAAAGAGTTCAATAAGGAAAGGTCGTTTGATCCACCTTATCGGCCTTCAGTGGCTACATATGATTATAGGAGCTCGGAAAGAAGATCTACAGATCAAAGAATCGTCACGAGGTTTGAAAAAGAGAATGAGGCCCTCCGTTCGGTAGCACGGACGGTTGATTTGTCGTTTACTGACAAAATCCTGAATGCTCCAAGCCCGAGGAAGTTTTCCATGCCTGTTTTCATTCTGTTCGACGGAACCACCGATCCGATTGATCATGTATATCACATTCAGTTGAAGATGGCACTGAACATGGAGAATGATCCTTTGATGTGCAAATGTTTTCCTACAAGCTTAGCTAGACCGGTGCTCAACTGGTTTAAGAACCTGCTGAGGGGCTCAATAGACAGTTTCCGTAGTTTGTGTGATCGGTTTATAAGCCTTATGGGAATAAACACCCGGCAAAAGATATCTCTAGTCTGTTCACTATGAAGTAGCATGACGATGAGCATCTCCAAACCTTTCTTACCAGGTTCAACCTAACCAAGAGCATGGTGATAGAGTGCCATCCTTCCACAACAGTTCAAGCGTTCAAGTTAGCAATGACCCAAGGGACACCGTTCCATATAAGTTTGGTGGTGAACACATCGAAGACAATGAACGAGCTGAATGAAAGAGCTAATGGTTTCGTGCGCCTGGAAGAGGAGGAAGCAGCTAATGCTAGGAAGACATCTATCATCTCCACAGAAGAGAAGTCCAAAGCCAAGATACGGCAAAAACAAGTTCCTCCGCAGCGTCAGACCTCCTGGAAGGCAGATAAGAGGCCTAGGGGGGATGATTTGATTACTCCACTCAAAGTTCCACTAGCAAGGCTATACCAAGAAAACAAAGATAAGTTTCGTCCTCCCTTGCCAATTAGACAACCTTTCGAACAGAGGGACCAGTCTAAACATTGTGCTTTTCATAGTGATTTTAGTTATCAGATTAATGAATGCAGGAACTTAAGGAGACAAGTGGAGATGCTGATCGCCAAGGGAGAGTTTGCAGGATATGTTTAAGGACCAGCCCAAGAGCAGAATCTACCAATTGAGCAAGTTAAGAGAAATCAAAAGCTGAATCACCATAACACTCAGCCCGTTTGGATTATAAATGCAATTCATGGTCGACCTGAACGAGCCGAAGAGTCCGAAGAATTGATCCGAACGCGTCTTCGGCAAGCACAAATGAAGAGGAGAATAGACAGTGTCAACACTCTGCACCAGCAGAGTGCATCAACGTAGATAAGATTCAATAAAGCATACTTGATGCGAGTTCAGATTCCTCATGAAGACCCCCTGGTCGTTAATTTGACAGTGACAGAGTGTTTGGTACGAATAGTGCTAATTGATCCAGGGAGCAGTGCCAATATCATGCCTAGAGTCACCTTCGATCGGCTGGAAATCAAGCCAGAGGAGCTCAAATGCACTGGGAATCCATTGTTGGGATTTGATGGAAAAAGAGTTGAATCGATCGGCACAGTAGAATTGCTTGTTCGGGCAGCCGAAAGGGAACTTATCGAGAGCTTTGTGGTGGTGAAGATCCATCCCTCTTACAATCTGTTGATGGGGAGAGGATGGATTCATAAGGTACAGGGAGTCCCATCGACCCTGCACTAAGTGATGAGATGCCTGAGTCCGGACGGGAGCAAGGTGATTGATATCCATGGAGATCAGGTTGCCGCAAAGGAATGTTACTCAGTGACTTTGAAAGCCGCAGGGAAGGGAAAAGCTCATATTCGCTCTGCTAGCACACAATAGCAATTAAAGAAACCTTCCCCCGGCATGAACGGGGAGGAGCTTCCGGTGCAAACCGAGGAACCCTTAGTTGAAGTTCAAATTGATCATTTGAGGCCAAATCGAACCACAAAGGTAGAATCAGGGCTTGCAGAGGAAGAAAAACGTCAATTGATTGATTTCCTCTCCCAGAATGCCGATGTATTCGCTTGGAGCCATCTGAACATGCCAGGGATCGACCCCTCAGTCTCTTGCCATTCTTTTAATGTAGATCTGAGCGTCAAGCCAATAAGGCAGAAGTAGAGAAAGTTCGCCCCAGAGCGCAACCAGATCATTGCAGACGAAATTAATCGATTGTTGGAGGCTGGGTTCATTAGATAAGTACAGTACCCGGTTTGGTTGTCGAATGTGGTTTTAGTGCAAAAGAAGAATGGAAAATGGAGAGTTTGCATTGATTTCACCAATCTGAACAAAGCCTGCCAGAAGGATAGTTTTCCACTTCCAAAGATTGATCAAATGGTGGACACAACAACCGGGTATGAGCGGCTAACTTTTCTGGATGCTTGTTTAGGCTACAATCAAATCCCAATGGACCCAGACGATGAGGAAAAGACCTCTTTTGTCACTGAACGAGGGATCTATTGCTACAAGGTTATGTCGTTCGGACTGAAGAATGCCGGAGCCATGTACCAGAGATTGGTTAACCAAATTTTTAAGGATCAAATGGGCAAGACAGTGGAGGCTTATATCGACGACATGGTGATAAAAAGCAAACAGAAGGACCATCACTTAAAGCATTTACAAGAGGTGTTCAGCTACTAAGAAAGTATGGAATGAGGCTGAATCCCACTAAATGCTCGTTCGGCGTAGGATCCGGGCAATTCCTTGGCCACATGGTCAACAACAGAGGAATTGAGGTTAGTCCAACCCAAGCAGAAGCTCTGCTAAAATATTCTGAACCAAGCACTATCAAAGAAGTCCAAGCTCTCACCGGACACATCTATAAAATAAAAAATAAAAACAGAAAAAAAAAATCAATTTTTCAAAGTGGCATTCCGTCTTGCTAGAAATGTTAAACTTAGCAATCATTGTGCATATTTCTTATATTTTGTTTCATTGTATATATTTTCAAAAAATAATAATAATAAAAATTGCATCCCTTATTTCCTGGCATTTTCATTTATTACATTTTTATTTCTTTGCATTTTATTGTGTGTGTGTACATACTTGTTATGTTATAAAAAATAAAAATAAAAAATAAATTTTTTTTTTCATTTTCAATTTTTTTTTTTTTGTTCTTGCATCTTTTCTTATTTTTTGTTTTTCATTTATTGCATTGTACATATTCTTTCATTGCATTTTGCTTTCTTTATTTTTCTTTTTTTATTTTGTTCATGCATTTTATTCTTTATTTTTCTTGTATTTTGTATATACTTGCTTTCATAAAAAGAAAAATATAAAAACTTTTCACCATTGTGCCATTTTGTGTAGTCATACATACTTTTATACTTTAGTTAGGGCTTGATCTCATATCTCTATTTCATCTTGTGCTATATTACTTTAGAATGCTTGATTTACTTATCTTATCCCATTTGATATTTGATGTGAGTTTGCTAGTGTGGTTATTCAAATAGGTTGTTGATTCCAAGTTTGGGGGAGACCTTTTTCATATTGGATCATTGCCGGGTTTCATACTTTCGACACTACGGTATACTCTTTTCTTCTTTTCCATTATTCTCATTGCACATTGAGGACAATGTGCGGTTTAAGTTTGGGGGTAAGGTGTCTTTATTGCATTCTACTTAAAGTTGAACTTTAAATGCATGATTGAGATTTGAGATCCATGTTAGCTACGATTTTGATCTTTTGAGGATTATATTGCTTAAAATTTAAAAATTGATTGACTTAAAAGTCCAATACTCCTTGTATGCCTTGTGGATGCCATTTAAGAGTAAATTTTTCGAAAGATTGATATCTTGCTTGCACTTGTGGTCCACACCATCCTGTTTTTGTGATTGTTTTGAGATTCACTCTAGGATTCTACACTAGCACAGGTGCACACTAGCATTCATTTGTGGGGTACATGCTTTGTTGATTATTGAATTGGTTATATCCCAATTGAGCTAGTAGTGCATTGAAAGCTTTCATTCTTAATAAATGTGGATAACAAATCCTTTTCGTTGAGTAGTCGAGATTCTAGTCTCATCAAGCACTGAATTTCTCGTGCCGAAAGGTGGAGGGCCCAAACTTTAGGTTAATAATTGAATTCTAAAAAAAAAAAGATAAAAAAAAAAGAAGAAAAAGTTGTAAAAGTAATAAAAAAGTGAGAAGTGGAAAATGATTAAATGGAAGTTGTTTTGATTTGTAACCTAGTTGATTTGAGCTTGTAAGTCCTTAGAGGTGTTTGAACACCTAGTGGCCTAAAACCGTCTGGTTTAGGAGTCATTGACTTAACGCTCGACCTCATGGATCGCTAGAAAACTTAATAGATCAACACATTGCACTATGTTTCCATCTTTGATCCTTAAGGATAAAATAAAAATAAAAATAAAAAAACCGAGTGAAAATAATAAGCGCACCTAGATCAATAAAGCTTTAATAAAATGTCTACTATTTGTTTTGATGATCGGTATTAGATTTGTGTACTCGTTTGAGGATAAGGATGTGCTCATTTCTTTAATTGGCTAAGATAGTAACATATTTGATGCCGGTTCACTCAAAAATGATTTTAGAGTTGTTTTGATTTGCATGATCATTTTCTTGATGTGTGGGGGACCATACTTGTTTGCTTGGTGTTGAGATTTTGGGAGATTGCTTAGAAAGAGTTGAAAATTTGCATACCTGAGGTAGTTTTCTCCCAATACTTGTTTGCAATATTGGTGCCTCTTTTGTGAGAATGAGCTTAATGTTTGTGGGTATCATTTCTGGAAACCCTCGCGAGACTTCACTCGTCCACTAGGGTTAAAAGGCTTGTTGCATACGCTAAATGCAATCGTATTCCCTATGAAAGTGGCATTATCCATTTATTGCTTTCTAGTTTATAGTTGTTTAGTTGTTCATTTCATTCATTTACTTTGTAGTTCATCAATATTTAATTTTGGGGGTGTGATGAGCGCTAAGATGTGCACATTTAAACCCCTTAAGTAAGGGTATTTTAGTCCATTCATTTATCTTTATTTACCCGTTTTAGTATTTATTTGTGTTTTTGTCTATTTCAGGTCAATAATGTTAAAACGGGCTAAAAATGGTTTCTTAAGGCCTTTTTGGAGTCAAACTAAGTGTTAGTGAGAATATGGAGCAAAATGAGGCTGATCTGGAGCAAAAAGAGGCTGATGCTGAAAAGTTGCCAAATGAGATCGATCAGAGATCGATCGAACTCTGATCGATCGAACTTTTCTCTGATCGATCAAACTATTCACGAAAGTTATTACAAAGCAGATCTGAATCTCATTTTGAACCAACTCGGGCTATGCTTCAAAGGGGAGATTCTAGGGTCGAGTTCTCACATTTTTAGGCTCTCAAAGCCTTGTATATAAGAAGGATTCAACCATTTTTGTTGAGAGATTCATATTTTTATATTGTAATTTCTATATTGTGGTAGCTTTCTCTCTCTAGAAAGTTAGAGATTTGGGTTAGAAAAAAAGAGGGAAGTGGAGGCATATCTCAAGAACACATCTCTAGATCCATTCACTCTCTCTCTCTAGAGCTTCAAAGAAGAAGAAGAAGAGGAAGAAAAAGATGGAGCCATGTTTGGAGCTTACCCTAGCTTGAGGGTTTCATGACCACATCCACCTTCTCTATGATTGGCTAGATCTACACTTAGGGCTTGGATTAGCCCTAAGTCTTGTGTGATCTAAACCCTTGTATTTCTATTTTTGGGGATTTATATATATATTGTTATGATTAGTACTTAGCCTTATGATTGTTGATTTAATTCTTCATTATAATTCTCTATTTTAATTACATGTTGTCTTATGTGTGATTATTTGGGAATTGCTATCTACACTATATTCTCTATGTTGGTTGCATGTCTATGTGTGATTAATTAAGGATTTAGTGATGGCTAAGCATGGGTTTTCATTGAATGGATTTGTAAATTAATTTGATGGATTATACTTATGCTTGATGGGTTGTTTTACAATTTAATTCATAGTTGTAGGTAGGTAGACAATCTATACTTGATTTGATATTCCATGGCTTATTATTGCAAATTTCATGATTCTCTAGATTGATGTGTACTACAATTGTGACTAGTTTGATGGGTCATGCTTGGATTTGATGGATTGTTCTATACTTAGTTTATTTGTTGGTTAGGTAGACAATTCATACATGAATTTGATGGTACATACTTAATATTGCAATTGGTAGTCGCATTTTATTCATAATAATGTATTCCCCATTAATGGAAAACAAGTGGTTAATTACATGAGTTTAGTAGTGATTCCAACACCCTAAGACCTCTCTTCATATCTCTTAAATCCCTATCTCTCACTAGTTTTATTTTAATTGCATTTTCATTAATTGAAGTAGTTTAATCATTTCATCAAATCTCTTTACAATCTTGTGATACATTAGAGTCGAAGTTAAATTCCAACACGTATAATCTCTGTGGACGATCCATACTTACTATACTTCATTAGTTGTAGTAGTGGTTTTTATAAATGTAAATTTGACTATAAAAGCTTCCAAAACCACATTCATATTTTGACCTTGTGAAGCGACTTCTCGCATTAAAAAGCCCGTTTTCTAAACGCATTAGAAAGGGGCTCGTCGAAAATTTTTGTTAAAGCAAGAATTTCTCATGTCATTAAGTCTCTCCAAAGATTGAGATATTCCCAGAAGTTGAAGAAATAATAAATGAAGAAAAAATGTTGTTGGAACAGTTCGATCTTGCCTACCGAAATGAAGAAGCCAGCTCACCAGACAGTACTAATGAATACTTGGCCCGCAGGCATGCAAGAGCAAGAGTTGACAATCCAACAGATAGTGTTTCTGATAGAAATTTGTCCAATATGCAAGAATTCTAAAAGTATCCAAGAAAAAACAGATTCTTCATAGTATAAAGCTAAAGATAACTTTAGCATTCAAGAAAAGTAGATTCTCAACAGTGTACAGTTAAAAGCAAATCCACCGAAAACAGATTTTCAACAGCAAAAGTAGATATAATTCCCCAGAAGACGATATCAACGGTTCAACAATAATTCATGTCATCTTATCTCTAAAGCATCTTGAATCTCAACCATATATGCAGCATCTTCAAGCTCAGCCGACGATTCATCCCTCTCTTCTTCTATAAAAGGAAGTTCTCTGCTTAAGTAAAGATCATTGAGTTTTAGAACAATAAAGTCTAGAACCATCAAACATTCCAGCCTTTAGTTTCCAGTGTGCTTTGTGACTTCTTTCAATATATTTTCTTTGTAAAATATAGTATGAGAAGTGTATCTATGCATAAACAGTGTGTATCCATGTATATGTGAAATAAAATATCCAGTTTGTTCTTATTCAAAACTTCCTAATCCCAATTTAGTATTTTAAGTACTTTCGGGCAAAAGACTTCGGTCGACAAAAAAATCAAATATATAGATTTTATTTAGCCAAATAGTGTAGATCTTATAATTTTCTTGAATCCAACCAGTGCAAGCAGCCTTAGAATTAAATTAGCAATTTCTTCTGTGAGTTGACTCGAACTGTTGGCTTGTTGGCCCGTTCTTGCCGGTGTCCAGACGTTTTTACAGGGCGTTATCAGAGCGTTATCAGGTTCAGTAGTCATTTCTGTGATTTAATTGTTAAATTTATTCTATGTTTATTTTGCATGCTTCTATCGTGTTGGATCCAACTCAATTTTAGTATCAAAGCCTATACTGTTTCGTTAAATTTAATTTATATATAAGATCTTTTGTCTAAAGAAGTCTATAGGTCCATATTAATCTATTGCGACTTTTAATTTAGTGGGAAAAATATTAAAACGATTGTTCAAGGATCTTTTAGTAAGTTTATTTTATATTTTAAAGTTTTTATGATATAATCATATATTCTGTTGGGTCAAAGTGACAATATAACTTGTTGTGTGGTCTAAAGTAGAATATCATTCAATTTTAGAGAAATAATTGTGTGATCGTTTCGTTTGTAAGAAAAAGTTTGTATGATCCCTCATTTGATTGATAAATCAAGAAGTTCGACATATTATAATATTTGGACCTTAAACCCATATATTGGTAAAAATTCCCAATTTTTTAAAGCAAGGTACTCTTAATATTACAATTGAGTTGTAAATATTATAATTTTAATTTTATTTATATAGAATTAGTTTGCTCCCAAATTAAAATTTCTCATAATTATTGAAATAAAATCAGGAGAAAGACGACCATTGGAGTATTATTCAGAAACATCCAAATTCGTTTCCATTTAGGCCTGTCGTTCCCAAGCCTTCGAGCTGGGAGACCCTTTATGGCCAACCAACCAGGGTCTTATTTGCCACAGCTCGGTTCCAGCTAAACTACTTCCAAGAGGCACGATTGACCCACGAGAGAAATTGAGTTTCCAATATGGCGGTGGCACTCGCTGTATATATATACACACTCCGTATAATGCTAGCTTTAGCCCCTCTCCTAAAACCCTAATCACTCGTAGTTGTTACTGTACGGTACTGCTACTCTCTCCCCTAAACCCTAATTTTTCCAGTGTTGATCTCTGTCTCTCTCAGACCAACAATGAAGTTCTGGGGTAATTTTCTCTCACGGATTTTTTCTTGGTTTGATATGTACGTATAATTGATTATTATTGATTCTGGTTTTTCTCTATCTTTCTATGTGTTTTTGGCGCTGATGTGTTAGAATATATTCATAACGAGTGCATATACACTAACGAATCACGCGCACGCTCCATTATACATTTATAAAGCAATTTATGCATCTTATCTTATGTTATTAAAGTAATATTAATGATAGATTCTGAGGGAGTATTTATGATCAGTTACCCGATAATATACATTCACGTTACTTTGAGTACTATAAACTTATTAAATTAATGATGATTGTTATTAATTTTCAATGTTGATTTGATTGTTTATAATCAAGTCTTCAAAGCATTGTCTTCGTTATTTGAGGGAGAAACATGTTATACATTTGTTTTTCGTCCTACCATTCTTTTGCATTCACTTGTAATATCTGACAATTTATGGTTGATTTTGTTTTGTTGAACTATCCATATGACAACTAATTACAATCTTTATGACAGTTGCTCTTTGTTTCCTCAGTGTTGTTACTATAGTACGTAGTCCTTTTTCTTTTTTTGTTGGGGGGGGGGGGGGGGGGGGGGGGGGAAGTTTTTGTTTTTGTTTTTGTTATACATAGATTAAATTTAAATTTTGGAGAAAACAAATTGTTCCTATCCTACTGTTTTATGTGAATTGGGTACGACATCATCCCCACTCACATAAATACAGTCGGATGGATGCGTTAGAAAGTCGGACTCTATATAACGACTCTTTAGATAGTTTAATAAGTTCGTGTGGTTAATTTCTCCTTTCTAATGGAAGATTGCCAAAGCTATGTTGAAGTTATATTGGGTGTTTCACATTTACTGAATGGTGCAATCTGACCATGAGCTTCTGGTTGTCTGTATGGATTACTGGGGTGCATGTATCATATTTTCACTCTACTCCATGTTTGTTGCGAGTCATAATCTGATACTAATCATATGCATGTATTTATGTGTGTATTTATATTGATTCAGCTGTTTCTTTTGGCATGTTTAGTGATTACACCTGATGAATTTTCATAACATTTAACAATGTTCAGGTGTCGAAGTGAAAAGTGGAGAGACTATTAAGGTGCAACCTGGTGAAGAGGTTTTGCATCTTTCACAGGTTATACTCAAAAGTCCAAAAAATTCAGTTTGACTTTTGTTTGATTAATTTATATATTTAGACACATCTCTTTTCAAGATTGATGACTGAAATCCTGTTTTCATTACACTTAATCCTGATTTTATTTTGATGTTTTCTAGGATTCTTTGTAAAGAAAAGAAATTCTAAATAGAACTCTCTATTCATTTATTTTGTATAGAATTTCTAATTCTATTTATAATTGTTATTATTAATTGAAATCTATTGGCATTGACTATTGATATATCAATTCTCCAAGTTCTTGGAATTAGAATAAGTTTGGCAGCTTGGCAGCGGATCATGAAAATCTTGGTGATCTGATCTATCCTTGAATGAGTAGTTGCTTTAAAATCGTCCAACCTGCACCCCCTCCCCCAACTCAACAAATAAGGACATTACATGGTCCATTTTAGGGCTTGGCGACTTACCCCTCAGTAATTTTGGCAATGGACATTACCAAATTAATGGGTAGTATTTGGGTCGGGTGAATAGTCGCCTGCTAGCCAGCCTGCCTTCTCCTTTCAAGGCCTATCTGAAAGAGAATCCAATACTTTTGGTATTGAATATGCTATTGGCGCTTTCCAGTACTTTGGGTTGTGAATAGCTGAACTGGTTGTTTAGTTTTTGTCTCTTGCATTCCTCCCCTGTTAATTGAAGTATGTTGCATGCTACATGTTTGCAGGCTAGTCTCGATGAGGTCAGTGGCAAAGGCAAAGGGAATGAATCGGTATGCCTGTTTGTGAATATTGATGGGCAGAGGCTTGTTCTCGGAACACTCTCTTCTGAGAAGTTGCCTCAGCAGTTATTTGATTTGGTGTTCGAAAAAGATTTTGAGCTATCCCACAACTGCAAAAATGGCAGTGTCCACTTTTTAGGATATTTAACTCCTGATTTGTCAACTGACGAATATCCTTTTTTATGTCCATGTGATTAACCCCTTACCCTCTTTTTTAAATGTCTCATGTTCTTCAATTTTTTTGTTATCCTCTTGGTTTTTCTTGTACTAAGTAGCTATATTATATTTTTTATACTTGTATCTTTTTGGTATTTTTCCTTGACCCTCCTGCCTCTTTTATGGTTTACTTCTGATGAGGATTCTGAGGATTCAGGTGAGTTTGTAAAGACAATACTTCAATGGTTTCTTATTCTTCTTTTTTCATTTTCTTTAGCAACAATGTACTCATATGTATTTTTTACTTCTATAGGTTCTGATTATGAGAATGCGATAGAAGAGGCTGCTAAAATTGGTAAAAAATGCAGTTTTTCCTTTTGAATATTTTATGTTACTAGCATGAATACTTTGCGAATTTCATCGAAGATATTTATGTGGTATATTGATTTCCTAGTAAAAGCTGAGTCAAAAGCAAAGGAAGAAAAATCTTTGAAGATTGTGGAGCCTGGCACAGATGAGAAACCTTATGGAGATGACGAAGACAGTAGCGAACAGGAAACATCATCCGAATCGGACAGTGAATCAGAGCAAGATACAGATTAGTTTAATTTAGTTTGAAATAGGGAGGAGGAACATGGGAGTTAATTATTGGGGAATGACCTGACCTGGTAAAATGGATTTTCACATATTCTTTTATGGAATGTTTTGTTTTAGAGAAACAATTTAGTTCTTCAATTAATTTACCGTGAACATAATTATATTCTTTTCATCCTCTCTGAGCACATTCTAAATATTCGATGCTTTCATGAAGCAATTAGCTGATTGTATGGTACTGAAAATAACAATGGTTCCAAAATACTCAGAAAGAGATTGTGCTGAAGAGAAGTCAATCTGATCCTCATTATTTTATTTGAAGCATATAATTATATAAAGGCAAGACCAACAATAAGAATAAGAGGAAGTTTCAGAAAAGATTTAGCAAATATGGAGTATCTCTTAAAAATTAAACAAGGGAGTTGCATTTGCATTAAAAATACCTCAAGGTGTTGCTTTTGCATTAAAATAGGAGTTATCTCAAATATTTCAATGATTGGAAATAATCCGTTTTATTTTATTTATTAAAAAAAAAAAATTAAACTTTCACTGTATCGAATATGTACAGCATTTTTTATTTAAAAAAAAAAAAAAAACAAAATTAAACGTTCTCAAATATAATAATTATTAGAAATAATATCAAGATATTGTTACTTATAAACTTTCTCAATGTGTGCGACAATTTTTTTTTATCTATATTGGTATCATTCTTTTAATTATTACAAATTTATTATTATTATTATTATTTGGTCATTCGTATCTCTGTTAGGTGTACAACAAAAAGTGTTGGCATCTAAAGCAACTTTTTTAAAGAAAAAAAAAATCAACAAATTAGGAATTTCTCTATCACTTGCACGCGATGTTGATTTATCCATTCGTGGATGGGAATGTTATATGTAGCAAACCCTTTTTTTTAAAAAAAAACAAAATTTAACAAATAGTTTGTTTAGAGCAAGGCCTAACATATGAACTCAATTTATTTAAAGTTGATTAAGTCATTTGATAGATTTTTCAATTTATTGGTTAAAGAACTCACATGACTCATTTGATAGATCTTTCAATTTAGGATTAATTTCACCTAGACCCTTGAGATTGGCGCATATTTCACCTTGATGAAAATTTGATTTTTAGTGACCACTTAGACCCCTATTTGATTTTTGGCCTCAAACACATACGAATTGACCTTTTTACCCTCAAAATTTTAATACTACAAAATATTTTTAATTTTAAATGACATAAATGCCCCTCTTTTATCTTTCTTTTCTGCGTCTGCAGACCCACCCCCTCAACCACCAACACACCACCTCAAAAAATGCATAAGCACCCACAAACCACCACCTCTGTAATCAATCAAACAAACCAAATCTTACCCCCAATCACAACCCCGCAATCAATGCCCCAATCACAAAATCAGACCATGTAATCAACAATCCACAACAACAAAAAAAAAATTCAACAATCCACAGCCCTGCAGATCAAACCCAAACTCAGCAAGGATGGCTGCCACCGAGACCCGCTAGACCCAACAAACCCCGCCGTAGACGAATTCGAACCGGAATCGGACTCAAACCATGGCAAAGACAAGCTCAGCACCCCGTTGCCGGAATTGCACCACACGCGCCGATCGACATCTTCTTGAGGAGAGCAGTCACGGCATGTTGGAGGTCCTCTTTACCGCGATCGACGGCGATTGGTGACTGTCGATGCAGATCTTGACCATCGGTTGGAGGTCCTCCGGCGATATGCTCTCGATTATCTCCGTCGAGAAGTTCTTGCGTTGCAGAAAACCCAAGCTTAGGGACCGTCCGGATGATGGCGAGCTTGTGGCTTCGGATGATGGCAGCGGCGAGCTCGACGGCAAGCCCGAGTCCATCCTATTCACCGGGCAGAGAAGGGCTGAAGCCGGGGCTGATCATATTGATCTCTGTGGCCGATGCAATTGGAGTCGCATTCATATTGAAAACTGGGTGGAAATAAGAAAAGATTATTGTGTTCATGTCCTTGTATTAATGGGTTTCCTAGTAATGACTCAGAAGCGGAGTCAGATAAAGGAGGAGGTGGTTAGAACTTAGGGTTAATTGGGAAGATTGCTTGAGAGGAGGAAGAGATGGAAATGTGCGGGGGCAGTTTAGTCACAAAAAATAGTCAATATGAGGTCAAAGATAACACAGTCATTTAATATCAAAAGTTGACATTTGGGGTGTAAGTAAAATGTTAAACCACTAATTGAGGTCCAAGATCGCTCAAAATCAAATCTCCATCTAAGTGAAATATGCGCCAATCTCAGATGTCTAAGTGAAATTAACCCTACAATTTATGGTTAAATAAGAGCTCACACGCCCTCATGATTGTATTTACTTGCAAGCATCATTATTTATTTATTCATTTTCAAAGATTCCACCACCAAATTGTATAAAGTATTTTCGTTTTCCGAAACCATTGTTGACTAGAACGACCCGCATCAGGATTGGATGCATTTCCTTCGCAAGTGAAAAACAAATGGGAGTGTGCAGCATAGGAATTTCAATTTGTGATTTGGAGTGAAGCAATACTACTGGCTAGGGAGTCCATCTTGGACTATCAAATTAACCACTTAAATTTATAATTTAAAAAAATTTAGTTAAAACACAACAAATTTATTTTTGAAAATGATTGGGGAGCCATATAACATGCGAGCCCAATCAACCTGCGGAGAGGAGGTTAAAAACAGGGCAATGTGTGTTTGAGAGAATAACCACCATAATGGGAATGGCTAAAAGGGTTGGGGGGCCAAGTAATGATCTTTGATTCAGAAATGGGTCTCCAATCAACCTGAGTCGAACCAGACTTGTCAAAGCCTCGCTGTTGGCCTTTCGCATTCCCAAAGGTTCGACGATCCATTCTATGTCAATAGAATGAGGAGCACTAAGAACCATTTAAAAGACGGAACAAGTAAATTACAGAACCCATTTCTACCCCCACAAACACTAATGACATATCGATATCATCCACAAACAACATTTTTGAATCATAAGTTATACTTCCAAGTCTTGAGCAACTGTCAAAATCCGACACTAGGAACCAAAATAAAACCATTTTTCACTGCCAAAAGCCTGCATGTTCCCCTATTTAGGATATAAATTTTCTTAGATATCTTCTCAAAAGCAAGCAGGCTAGCATACTCTTGGTTATCACCCACATAATGAAGGTAATAGACCAATAACAATAAATAAGAACTAGAAGAAAATAAGAAAAGCTTCCATTCCACACCAATTTTGGTTTTGTAATGTTAAAAATAAAGAGTAAATATAGTGCACAAAACACAATATCAAACCACTTAATCCTGATGAAATAGAGTGTGTGATGAGGCAGAATTACTGCTGCTGCTAAATTGTCACCCTGTCCAACCTGCGTAATCTCTAATAGAAAGAAAAGCAAGCGAGAGAAGATCCACAAGCAAATGAACTCCGGTCACTTAAAACAGTTTGAAAACTTGAGTTCCGCTTCAGTTCTCCCACCAGGTAACAATTTAAATACTGTAAACTTCTGCTGCATACAACGATAGGCGACCTGTATACAAGTATCATGGTAAGCTGCAATAAAAAAAAAACCGAGGCTCGATCCCGGGAAGCAGGAATACCTGAACCTGCAAATCTTATAAAGCACATAAGATCACAACTTCAATGAAAAAATAACAATGAAAATAGAGAATGATGTACATCCCTGTAAGATGATATACATCCCTGTATCAATTGTTTGTTCACTCCCCCTATAATTTTACCTTATCAAAACTTCAGATAGGGTTTAATATGGGCAAACAAAAGAGACCTGTACTTGTTTCACTTGGTAGTGAAATGAGTTGAGATAGCATTTATCATCCCAACTACACTGACAAAAATTCGAACATCTGAAAATTCTTTCATCTAATCAAATCGCTGGAAGGATTAGATGGCAAAACATATTGGATGACTAGAAAGTCTCTGTGAAACAAATTTGAGCAATGTAGTGTGTGATTTGTTGGTAATGAACAGCCTACCGTAAGAAAGCGATCCCAACTAATGCATGTTTTTTCCATTATGCTCCAGAAGCTATTTTGCCCTGATCCATGTGCTACTTAGAAACGCATGCAACAGAAATAAATGCCAGCATTTCAACTTATCTATAGTCTTTTGCAAAATGAATTTGTAACATCCCTTCCAAAAAAGAATTTAGTGACACCTCTTGAATTTTTTTGGTATCAATATGAACATGTTTTAGAAATCTGCCAAACCATGGAAACAGCCAACTAAAAGGCGATTGTCGCCTGAAAAATATGACATGCGAAAACGTCAGTTTGAAAAGTTTGAAGTAATTCATTAGATGCACATTCATATACTATGGTGGTTCTCTTTTTTGGTGTCTTATCTTTTATTTTCAAATTCGACTTCTTTTGGTGGATGAAGGAGAAAAAGAAGAAAAAAAAACTTTTACTTTCAATATCATATGACACTGAACCTGTACTCCACCTGCACAGTGGAAAATGGGCAGTAAGCTATATTTTTTAAATGGGCTGTTTGCGGAAAAAAGAAAAAAAACATTTGCCCCTTCCTACATTTTAAAGACTTGTATCAACTAAAGAGTATAGGGACAAACCGGGCAATGTAACTTCTCAGTAACTGTAGCCTCCATGATCCTGCTGGTGCTGCTGATCTGGGTCATCATAGTGTTCCTCGTTCTGACCAATTCCATTGTCATTGTTACTATTATCATTCCTGTCAACAGATTCCGCCTGTTCCCTTTCCCTATTCCATTGTTCAATCTTTGCCCTTCGCTCAGCACTGCCTTCCCTACCTGGACTCCTATTTCTCCTTCCCCCAGGGCTTCTGCTTCGTCCTCCTCTCCGTCCAGGACTCCTGCTTCTGGGCCTCCTGCCCCTGTCATGGTTGCGATGATCCCTGTCGTCACCTCTTCTACCAAAACCACGACCCCCAGGTGGACGCTCATCATAATTGCGATGCCTAGGAGGACTGCGGCTTCTGCTTCGACTGTGCCTTCGCCTGTTCCTCCCAAATAGTTGCCTCCTCAGCTCTCTAAAATTGACCACCCCAAAAACAAAAAAAGTTTCAACCGCTAAATGATAGGTACTGAGGCCAAATGTTAAAGGAATGAAAGATGACGAAATATCAGAGTCACTCACCTGCTTATCTTTTTCAGATGCATGAAGTTGCAGTAGCCACCTCGATTGCAAACATTTTCCTCATATTGCCTACAAGTAGCTTCACGAAAATCCGTCACTGGAGAGAAGTCCACAATGATTGGGCGTCCTAAAAACATTTTATTTCAATGACGTCAGCAAAAATCTGAATAGTGATACTACTATTATTTTGTTAACATACTCAATAATGTTAATCTAGATAGAATAAATGACAATATGTGCACCTAGTCATGTTTCTCGCGATACCGTTACTGAGCGACATTGATATTGAATAATAGATGAATCACAAAATATACCTTTCAATGATAAATTTCCCATTGAAATCTAGTACTTTTAATAGAAAAATAATGGAAGTTGAAAATTTCAACTCAAAAGGATACAGTGTCACAATATCTGACGTGATATACAGAGCTATTTCTCAATAGATAATTATTAAGATATTTCCTTTGAAGTTTTTTAAACCATTACTTTCACTCATTTATTTTGTAAGAAGAAAAAGACGGATGAGAAACAGCGGTGGATGGAGTCTTTTAGAAATTTAATATGAAAAAGAGAGATGTGAAATTGTAGCGGATGAAGGAATGGTGGTGGCAATGGCGAGAGGCTGGTAAATTTCAACGGAAAGAAAGTGAGATCAAGAGGTTTTCACAAGGCAACTAATGAGAAGATAAAAGGGGTGATGGTGGTGGATTAATAGGTGGTGTGAGAGCGGCCCTTTTAAAGATCTGGGAAGTGGATGGCAGTATACAAGGAAGAGAGTGGAAGAAAGGAGCATGGGAAGAAAGGGGAAAAAATAGGGCACAAATGCCTTTTTTAAGTAAAAGATGACCAAAAAAAAAGTACTCCAAGCTAACTATATATATTTTTGAGAAGTATTGCCAAAGTGCAACAGTGGATTTTGTTCTCAAGCTAAGTATATATTGAAAACCTTATTGAGACTATCCATGCCTGTTACTGAAATCATATTTCAAAAATAAATAAATTAAATTACCATTATAAACTCTGCTATTTAAACACGTCTGAAACAGACTGAACATGTATATGCAAAATTGGCACTGGGGGTGTTCATGTGTGTATAAGGGTGTTTTATCCATATATGGTTGTGCTATTCATATATTTAGGACATATATTGAGGATGAGAGTGCAACTTGCCTGCATAAAACCTTCCACTCAGATTCTGGAGCGCATTCGCAGCATGTTCTTCTTCTCTAAACTGAACATACACATTACCCACCTGCATAAAACAATCAAGGGGACAAAGTGAATACCACTCACCGAATTGATATTAGTAAATATCATTTGAAATTATGATAAGGAATACCATGTGGTCAGCCAAATTATCGCAAATGTTCAAGCTCTCAATCTCTCCATATTTGCTCAGCTCCTCAAATAGATCTTCATAGAAATCCTGCATCTCAATGTAAAAATTGAAACATCAAAGAAACAGAAATGTAGCCATAAATTAGAAGCCAAGCATCATAGATACAAATGTTAATAGAAATTCAGTAGCAAATAGGGTGTTCAATCCCCTCAAAGTACTTTAAATTTACACACCGTTCTATAAAGAAGGAAAAATGAAAAGACAAAAATGTCCATCTCATTTTTTTTTTTCCTTCTATTTCATGTTGAATTTTCATGGCCACCAAACAGAATAACATCGTGAGGACTATTAACAGATAACAGTGTCAAAACTCAAAAGGTTAAACGCAAGTCCCACAGAAGAACAACTGAAAGCGAATCAGTACAACTATCAGCCAGAATATATCACGATGAACTAAACATTCAAGGAATAACAACTATACATAACAACTAAGAAAGAAGCATGCTAACACATACCAAAGTCGGTAATCATTCACCACAAAAATAATATCTAGATTCTAGAGATAGGTGCAAAGTAGACTAATCATTAACAAAAAAAATTAAAACAAAAAAACCTAGAGAGAGGGACCAGTCAAAGTCCTAAGTCACGCAATCCTTCCCAACGGCTGCTGCTCTATGTGACTTAAATTTTGCTCATGTGACTTAGGGTTAGACTACTACAGAGAAGCATACGTATGCACAGCAAATTGAAAGAAAAGCAACAAACACAAATCAAAAGTCATAGACAACTATAAACAATTTGCCAGTATCAAATCCAAATCAAATCAAATCATTAAAGCACATTAAAAAAAAAAAACCCTAAACTGCGATAGAGAGGCTTCGATCATTTGAAAGTCAATCAGAATCAAGAACGTATCATAAAAAACAGAGTAAAAAACTTATCCTATAAAGAGATATCAAGCAAACACACATTGGAGAGAATGGATCTCGAAGTAACAAACACAAACTAATCCACTGACAGCTTTGGTGCATACAAAAAATAAAAATAAAACCCTAAAAGAAATAGATTCAGATCAACAGATAAACGGTAAACCTAACCGATCAACAAATAACAGAGAAAGAGAAACATGTGCGTGAAGAGAGAGGACCTCGAAGTGGTCTTGGATTTTTCTAGGGTCAAGGGGTTGGCCCTGAGGGTCGACGCCGGGGGTGATCATATCAGGGCGTTGGTACATGTTAGAGAGGAGAAGAGTAGGGCTGATGCTGGGCTTGGTGTGAAGCCTGGAGCAGCGATCGCCATGTCTGCACGCACCGATCTTGAAATAGAAGGGGCAGTTCACTCGGTCCTTCTCTGTTCCGAATATCGAAGCCAAGTGCTCCGCCATTGATTCCGATTCACTTCTCCTTCTCTCTCCTTTTTCTCTCTCTCGCTCTCGGCCGATCTAGGGTTTTCTAATCTGTGACTTGGCTGGGGAGTTGGAAGATATATTACTGGCGTTGGAGGTTTTAATCTATAAAACTGTAACGTGTTAGACTTTTTTCAACAGCTGGTTTGCCCGAGAGGTTAAGGGGTAAGACTTAAGATCTTCTGCACATAAGTGCGCATGGGTTCGAACCCCATAGCCAGCATATTCTTTTTTGCCACATCAATATGTACATATAAGGGATGAGACTCAGCATAGGCAAACCCTTTTATATCACAATATATTTATATACATATTTTTTGTCTTTGTCCTAACAACAGCATATTCTTTTTCTTTTTCTTTTTTTTTTTATACAAAAATATATGAAGCCAACATCATTTTTTAATTAAATAAATATCACAATATGTATATATAAGGGATGAGACTCAGCATAGGCAAACCCTTTTATATCCCAATATATTTGTATACATATTTTTTGTCTTTGTCCTAACAAATTAAGGAAATGAGACTCAACATAGGCAAACCCGCACAATGAGTTCAATGTTATATCAATTAGATCACTAGGTAAATATCCATTGTCACAAAGTTACAATATCAAAATATTATGTTTAAAAGAGTTAAAAATGTGATAATACCAAGTCGGTTGTATGACGCACTATTTTCTATACAAAAATTGCATAACCACTTCTAAACCTCGTGAACATTTCAGTGGCTTTGTTGTAATCACATTTATTTTAAAATTCTCTATATTTTAGGATTTTAAGGTTCGTAAAATAAATAGGAGTTTAATAATTGCATCTCTAAAAAAAAGTTGGTCCCACTTCAGCATAGGCAAACCCTTTTATATCGCAATATATTTATATACATATTTTTTGTCTTTGTCCTAACAACAGCATATTCTTTTTTCCTTTTTTTTTTATAAAAAAATATATGAAGCCAACATCATTTTTTAATTAAATAAATATCACAATATGTATATATAAGGGATGAGACTCAGCATAGGCAAACCCTTTTATATCACAATATATTTATATACATATTTTTTTGTCTTTGTCCTAACAAATTTAAGGGAATGAGACTAAATATGAGCAAACTCGCAGAATGAGCTCAATGTTATATCAACTAGGTCACTAGATAAATATCCATTCTCACAAAGTTACAATATCAAAATATTCTGTCCAAAAGAGTTAAAAATGTGATAATACCAACGTAGGTCGTATGACACACTATTTTCTATACAAGAATTGCATAACCAGCTTCTAAATCTCGTGAACATTTCAGTGGCTTTGTTGTAATCACATTTATTTTAAAATTCTCTATATTTTAGGATTTTAAGGTTCGTAAAATAAATAGGAGTTTAATAATTGCATCTCTAAAAAAAAGCTGATCCCACTTCAAACCTAACCCACAAAAAGTATATATTATAAATTATAGGCCTAACATTATAAATAAATATTAATTTTAGACGTGTGTGTTTTATGAGTTGAATTACAACTACTATTTCTAAGACAAAAATAAAATTAATTAAAAAAATTGTAATTACTTTCATTTATTTTATTTTCTTTCGTTTTTTCGTAGCAAAATAGAATCTATTAATTAAATAAATTTCAATCAACAACCACCTCCAACATAAACATCCAGAAAGAGATTCTCAATATTTTTGTCAACGACAGAATTATGTATTGCAGTCAAAGTATCCTATTTGCCTCACGCGGAGTATACTCAATATTTTGTTGGGCAAAGTTTAATCTTCAGACCAATAATAACCCCATCTCATTTGTTTATGGATAATGTTTAGTTATTTATCGATGAAAACTTTGTGTCAATAACAAAATAATATATTATTTTTAATTAAAAAATAATTCATACCTTCTTTTACTTTCTCACATTAACCATTGAATAAATGTAGAGGACTTATTTATTGAAGATGATATATTATTTTGTTATTGGAATACGTAAAGGGATGAATAAGTAAAGTTACTCACTGATGAATAGATAAGTATTGTCCTTTATTTATTAGACAAATTCGAATGTTTTCCCACTTCTTCTAACTGCTTGAATCAGTTTTACATTGAAATTTTACGATACAAATTGAGTTTAATTTTCAGGTAAAAAGTAATTCGTTCATTAGACAAGTTCAAATGTTTTTTCTCTTCTTTTAATTGTTTGAATTGGTTTTGTGTCAGAAATTTTATAATAATAAAAGATGGTGAGATAATTGGTAATATAACTTTTCTTTTTGTTTTTTTAGTTAATTAGCATTAAGAACTGCCCTAGGCAGGGCCCCTTCGAAACCCACCCTAAATTACAAATCTGGGGTGTAGAGCCTCATCCCAAGGATACACCGGGTGAGTTGGAAGACATGAATGGCTTAGGAGGAGTCGAATACTGAACGGGTGGATGCAAGTGCCAAGCTCCTACCATCACAACCAAATCCTTGGGGCAATGGTAATATAACTTGATTGGACGAAATGGAGGCAAATTAATCAAATTTTTTTATATGATACTGTTGGGATTTGTATGCCCTGACCTAGCAAATTCTTATCTGAATTATAGTGACATATGTTTCTGATATATCTGAAATATTTATGATTTATATAATTGGTGAATTCAATGTATTATGTTTCGATTCACTATTAAATTGATAGTGTCCCTGTGATTACAAGAAATATTTATATATATATGTAAGTGATGGCAATCAATGCATGATATATAAATAGTAATTATAAATTGTTCATAGTCGGTAATTATGGATGGACTCATAATTAATTAAGATTTGAACTGGATCCGCGTTAGGTTGAGATATATTGCGAGAGCCGTCGTATGCAATTGCTCCCTATCATCGTCATGGCATTTGACTCTTAAGCATGAGAAAATTATAGACTCTTTTATTAATTAAATAATTACTTTGATTTGTTCGGCGGATTCTTCGGGATCCTTAAACCAACACTTTGGGTAGTTATGTGATTAATAGTTAGAGGGTTATATTTTCAATATTTGTATCATTACTACTTGTATTTATTTTGTATTGATTATGGTTGATCACAAAGTAAATTCGAAGGCCTTCGTGTGGTTTTAGACAAAATGATTTATTATATATTTATTTATTAAATTATTATTTTTGTCAAACAAATGTTTTATTGTGATCGAGCCAGAAATAATCAATGGTATCAAAATAAATATATTAATTAAATAGTCGGATTGATGACTTTATTTATCCGATAACTAATTATGCATAGAGGGGTCAAAGTGCAATATTGATTTAGAGGTTATTTATTATTTAATTGGAGTTCAATTAATTTCTTTTAGTGGAGTAGAAATTAATTTATGAATTAATTGAATTGGGTCCATGGACCGGGCCAATTATTAATTCATTGTAGCCAATAAAATAATAGGCCCAATGGATTCTCACTCATAGCCCAACTTGATATTGGAATCATATTAGATTTGAGACATATGAATTAGAGATTGAGAAGGATTTGTTATTTCCTTTTCTTTATTTTTATATTGTCTATAAATATACATGGTATATGTATATTTTGGGTGTGATTTTTATGAGAAGGAAAAAGGAATAAATTTTCTCTCTAGAAAATTAGGGTTAGTGTTCTCATCTAATGGAGGCTCCCACAAGCCTAATTTTCCAAGGTCATTCATGGAGGCATATGAGTGATTCCTAAAGGCAAAACAATTATCAAGAAGATGGAGATCCAAGGAGAAGGCGTCTTGCTAAGGGATCTACAATAAGTGAGAACATTCACTTTAGAGGAAAGAATTAAAGGTTTGCTCATACCTTTGATGTAAGTATTCAATCTGTTAATTGAATGATACATCATATTTTATTTTTGCATAAAACTTGTCTCTATGTGATGAATCAAGATCTATGTATTAAAATCCCTCGAAAAGTTTTTAAAACTTGCACGTTTCCCAACAGTGGTATCAGAGCATGGTTTGATTCATTACTAGAGATCATGTTTTTATCAAAATTCATCATTCATGGATCCAATTTTGATATGCATATATATTTATTTATTAATGTATGTTGATGTATGAATTAATATATTGATATATAATGATGTATGTATAATTGTGAATGGATGATGATGTGTGTTTGGGCTATGGATGAAACTTATAGGATAATTGAATGTAATTTTATCTTTGAATGAATGTAATAAAGGCTTTGATTGAGCCGTTTGAAAGTTCAATGATGTAATTTTATTTTTCTCATTGTATTTCAAATTGTAAATTTATTTAAAGTCATGTAATATTCATCAAAGGATGTTATGAAGCTTCAAGAAGGTCCAAGAGGGTTAAATTAGGCTTCAAGAATTTTCTGGGATTTTTTAGAAATTTTTCGGAATTTTTCTGGAATTTTTTAAGGCCTAATTTAATTTCTGGAAATTTTTATTGATTTTCTGAAAAAATAGGCGATTTTCCGGCGACCGGAGTCTCGCCGGCGGCGAAAAGAGGCATCAGAAGAGGCTGGGATCAAGTGTATCTCACCAAGGGTGAGCCTGGCGCGTGAGGAGCACGCGCCAGGAGATGGAGGCCTTGAGGAGATACTGGCGCGTGAGATGCACGCGCCAGCACTAACATATGTTCTCCATGCGTGTGAAGGCGCGTGGAGGTACTTCTATTAGTGTGCCACGCGCCACAAAGCGCCCCAAGCGCGTGCTAGCGCGTGGAAGTGCGTGCCTTGACCTGCAAGCTTCCCTAGGCGCGTGGGAGCGCGTATGGGGTCCTTCGAGCTTGTTCCAAGTGCTGTTTTGCCCCCGTAAGTGCGTACCAGCTCCCTACAGGTGTTTACAAGCTGTTGGGAGACGCCTGTACAATACTTAGAGTAATTAAATGTTAAAAGCTGATTCCATTGGCCGTTATTATTTACTTTATCTGTCATTTATTAATGTATGTGATGCATGTAATAGATAATTGTTGATTTATTATTATTCATGCATTGGATCCATGATATTTAATTAAATGACTTGATTTATATTAATTAAATTATGAAAATTAAGTGGATCTAATTACTAATTAATTTGAGGGCACTTATTGGGAAACGAAAAATTATTTTTGTAAATTATTTTTTAAA